TTGTATTTCATAGCCACTGAGGCCGTGTAAATTGGGAATCGTTTGTACGGGTTAACCGCAACACAGAACAGACCGGAATAAGTCTAGAATAGACAGGAGTGGATAAGCGAAGAAAAGAAACGAGGCGCGGTGAGCTAAGTTTCCTTGGTGCACTCAGTGAATGTGTACATGTGTGTCTGTCTGACAATAGACTTACATAGATCAGTTGACGATAGTATCGGGCTCGCAAGTTCTCCAAAACCGAGGCATCATTCAGATGAGTCAGGTTGGCCATATCTTCAATGAGGAAGAATTTAGGCGGGTTGACCAACTGGGCATCATCTTTCTTCACTTTCTTCTCCTGTTATCCCCAAACGAGATGGAAAGGGGGAATCATCGGTTGACCGGATGACGAATGGTGGACAAAAGGGAGAAAAACGAAATACCGCGAGTGTAAATGCATCAAATAGACACCAAGGTGGGACGAAATAATTGCATGACGTCTTATAGCGCAAACCGATTGAAAATTTGGCTAGCCATTATCCGATCAAACGAAGCGTGAATTGTGCTGTTGCTTCGACTTGGTTGGGTTGAATCAGCAGTGCGAATTCATCGACCCAACTAGGGATTGAACTCAGGAACTCACACCCAGCAGGTGGCTGATCAGACCGTTTTCATATTGCAGTTACGCAATAAATATTCACTGTTGAGTGCAATCGATTACTGTGGTGTAGAACGAATGATATGCGTTTTCGAAATGTATTTAGAAGTCTAACAAGACAGATATCTGTCAGGTTAAACTCTTGTGGCATTCATCAATTCATGATTCAATGAAAAACATGTTGCAGGCCATCTGACTGAATGTGTTAGTATAGCGGTGCAATGAACTCCACTCCGAAATGGGATCTATCACTAATGAATGTGTGCGGATTTCGAATCTTAGAAACCGACAATCTGTGCTCTATACTCTAGCTGTTTGATTTCTTGTGTTTTCCTGGTAACACTGCGATCAGATCTTACTACAATGCACAATACACTTATTAATTATTTACTGAGGGACGGAATAGAATTCAATTGACTCACCGTGGCATCCTTCAGTTTCACGGTGATTGTATCTCCCGAGGTCTCGACAACATCGGCCAACACATATCCCTCTTTCTCATCTTCAACCCAGATCACATTTTTCGAATCGAAAGACGCTTGTTCTTTGAGCAACTGCTTCCTGTCAACACCCAAATACTTGAAATCGGGATCAGATGGATCCATCTGGAGTTCGGTGGGATTTGCCACGCCCCCCGGAGGTCAGCAGTTGGATTGGGCCAAAGCAGATCCAGCCAATCGTGTGTATGAAACGAGAAGAAGTAGAGAAGACGGATCAGTGGAGTATGATTGCAGTATGCAGCGTTGACAACTTTTGCGTGCGTGTGTATATCTGTATACCAAAGACGATTGTGGACACAAACTTACCTTGAATCAGTTAAATTCCTAGACACTGAGTGAATGTAGTATGGATAATACTACTATCGGTAGTGCGATGTAATCCGACCAGGAACACTGAACGTGCTTGTGTAGTGTGTACGTTTATACGAAAGGACAGAGAACGAAGAGGCACTGCACCGAGAACGGGGCTGTTGATTGCTCCCAGTTGGTGATTGTCGTTTTTATCTGAACAGGCTGACCCGACCGGATTAGTTGGTACACACGTCCCGGCAACCCAGGTGTGTAAGAAACCAATGGGAGAACGACTCTTGGATTCAGGTAACACTTCAATGCTATTGGTTGNCCGTTCACCATGTGTAAGACCCATCGATCCCCTTTGGATATGGGCAGAGAACAGCTTGACCCAGTGTGCCTCTGTGCTGTGCACGTGCGTGCGTGCGTGCGTGTGTGCGTGCATGTGGTCAGCTAGCCTTGATCCTGGTTGGTTCAAAGCAGATGGCCTTAGGGTGGCCCCAACTCATCTCCACCAATCGGTTCGGGGTGTTGATGAAAAACAGACTGAACTTGGGCCTGCTTGTAGCTTAACACCCACTGATCTGGAATCGATTTGCGGAAACGAATCGATCAGGTTCGAGGTGCATACATATATCGGACCAGAAGCCGAATGGCACATGTATCGGTTTCAGTGTGCGTATGCTCGGATATGCTATCGTCCAAGCTCCTAGCATAGCATCAGTCCAGTAACAGAAATGGGGCAAATCTAATCCCACCATGGCCAAAGTAATGTTTGGTCAAAATCAACAGGGGTATCGGTCAAGAGGAAGAGAAACAACAACAACAACAACAACAGAAGGTGCACTGTCTGATGGGAAGAAGTGCATCCTAATGACAACCCACTGGATTCTTTTACACATTCATTGATTGGAATATTTTCCCCTGTAAATCGTAACCTAAAATTCTTTGGTGTTGGTCAAGTATAGGAGACGAAGAAACGAAATGAGAGAAAAAGTACGAATAAATACTGTTTTACGGCTTCCACACAAACGTTCTGTTCGTTCAGAGGTAAGAAGTAAGTAAAGGCCACCTGGAAAAAGAAAACATTTTCCCATTTTGATGGTGCTTATTTTCCACACTGCACTCAAATAGTTTAGGGCTTTAAGGAAATTCGATACAACCTTACCAGTGTGGGCACCAACCGTGAAAAGAAGTATCATATAACGGGCATTTCTCATTATCCGGCAGTTGATATGAAATGATGCTCATCGGAGAGGCTAGTTCCCATAGCGATATGGAACTACCATGTGGTCAAGAAGTTAACCCCGATGAAGCCTGATCAGACTTGCTAGCGGTAGTAAAGAGGTGACATATTTGGGGTTTCGGAATCGAATCTGGAAGCCGATAGCAATGGACCTGTTGACCAAAGCTGCTTTGGTCTTTGGTTCATCGCATACGAACTCTCAGACTCGGGATACACTTGTGTGGCTCACTCTCTGGATAAGTTTGCACATTTCCACTATCTTTTAAAACATGTGTTGTGTGCAAGCAAACATATTGCCGTGAATAGCCGCTTCCTCTTTAATGAGACTCATCGGTGTCCCTGTTGAGACTTGAACCGCGAATAGTCGGCCACCTGTGCGTAAGGATTGGAGGCGTGTTTATTTATTTTTTTTAATTTTGTATCATGCAGACCCACAAACGCATGATCTGTATGTATCGTTATTTCTGATTAGATCTCATTAATTGATTTTTTTGTCAAAGAGACCGTTTTTCTGCTGCTCGTAGCTCTAATATCAACGAATAGGCCACTTTCATTCATGATAGTAAAGAGTCCATACAAACAAATACAAATTACTAAGGTTAGCTCAGTTCCCTGTGTAAATTCTTCCGCATATCCAGTAAAGACTTGATAACTCGGCTTATTAACCATACCGCTTTGGGATGAAACATGGGTACATGGTCGAATACACTGAATTGGTAAACATGGACTGGGCACAAAAACGGTCTATGTATTCTTTTTAGGGGAAGGGAGAAGGATTATAGTCTGTCTTATGTTGTCATCTCTCTCTCTCTCCAACCATTGCTTTCTTCCGTGGTTTTTTTCACACCAGATCTCTAGAGTTTCGTGGCAGTTTGTCAACTACTGATCGGTAAAATGCTGCCTGTACTCAGCATGTGTGTTTGTTAGTGCTCTCTGGACTATAGTATATTCGTTTTATGTGAAACAATCCCATCTGGATGTCAAGTTGCACCTCGTCGTTCTTGCTATGTCCTTGATGTTGAAGTGCGACATTCAGACACATTCGTCATGCTCTCAATCGGTTCGAAACTGAACTCTGAATGATTTGATCTTTGAGGTGACGAAATCAACCTATCCAATATTGTGTTACCAAAGGGTGTGAACTACTGATTAGTATCGCCCACCCACTCCCTGGCTCAACCAATGAAAGACGCTTATTCTGTCCGAATAAAGAGTGTCGCTCGGGCAGCTGTCTCGATTGATATCGATAAATTCTCACATCCAGCTTGTTTCATTCTGCGAAAACGGGCAACTTTAAATCGCGCACACTTTTGAATTCTTCAACTCCAATACACCGGCTGTGATAGCAGTTTCCGGACACGTTTGCATGGGGTGGATAGGTGATGATGATGTGGAGTGAAAACAAACAGCTGCCATTCTACGGAATAGCACCTTAAAGTGCTGGCTGGATTCACTCGAGTTTTCGCCAACCGCCAAGCGCACACGGTCAGCCGTGATGAGGGCACAGTTCAACTATCTGGTTTCTATGACGCATCCCGATTTAACGTTGACGGTTCGACTGTATATACATCCTCTTAGGTAACTCATACAACTAATGGTTTAAATTGAAACAAAGCAATTATCAGAAATTACTGCATATGCCATATTTTAACTGTAATAATTTTCACCCGATCAGACCATCGATACACCTGGTCACGTTCGATCATCGAGGACATTGAATTCAATCTACCGTTTTAGAGATATGTTTCGAATCTACTTGACCCAGTGTACGCTATTGTCTAACTTGACAGACCGGTTTAGCTCCCACACTCTTGCATGGTGCTTGCCTGTCGCTGGGCGTTCGAACTTGACCACAAGGTCCAAAACCGCGCCCTGGACTTTGCTCTACATATTCACTGTTCACTGGATTTAATCAGCGACAAACGTCCGCTGATAGGCAAATGGGTTTGTAATAGAGTGACAAGAATCCACGGAAAACTCAAAATAGTTCCTTGAAAACACCTTCCTAGCTGGCAGGTCGCTTTATGGAAATGATTCGGCATACCAGAAACCATAAACGGGAGGGGGGAGCTTTGCACTCCCTGCTTGGAAATATGATCGGATTAAATGATTTGACTATCAGCATAGGATATATTCACAAAGCGGTCTAATAATATATGGTAAAAGGTTTTTAGAGGACTCGTCAGTAGTATGTACTTTTTGTGTCTCTGTCAGGACTCGAACTGCAAACCTTCGGGTTGGGACTTCAAGCCCTTATCCATGAACAGCTACACGTTTGACGTTCATCACCGTCTAAAACGGTTTCAAAATAGTTCAGGAAACCTGGTTCCACCATTAAATTGCTGACCGCGTTGTAAAAATCAATAGTTTTTCATCTGCCGAGTTGTTCAACCAGTTCTGGTTCACAAATGTCATACACACAAACGATCATTGATGCAGTTCAGTCCAACGAGGTTTTCAGAACTTCACTGTTTTTCTCAGCACTTCTGTATTTTAATGAAGACCTAAGCATCTCGGTACCAATCGATCTGTTATTTTTGATAACGTGTGGACTTCTTGTTCCACTAGCCACTTTAATGAGTTCACTGACCTTTTGCCGCTTGGCTGAATTATGCACTCTCTCGCCGTTGCATCGTGTGTGGTTGTGGTGATTCGGATCTACGAGATCACGCCTGCCCTGGAACAGCGCGGTACAGTTTCCAGACATTGGTAGTCAATCGACCTTGAGCGCTGACGCCAGTAGCACGTGCACAGCCTCCGGATACACGTCATTGGTGCACCGTTTCAGCCAATCAGATATAATGCAGAGAAGAGCAGTATGACGCAAGATGTGATGCAATATGATTGGTGGAAACTAAGGTAGCCAATGATCTTTTCTTGTGTACATATATATTCACTTTCATTTCCTTCAATAAACGACTTTGTGATTCGCCTGTCTTGTGGTCTTTTTCCTCGCGTCTCGATCCTGCGGGTTATAGCGAGTTCGCACCATTGCGGTCCAGTGTCATCGGTTTTCTAATTCGTGTTCGGTGATTCCGATTGCGTAGTTCGTGTCCTGAATTCTGTGCGTAACTTCACTACTACTACTTCCATCATCATTACAGTGGTTCCCTTAATAGGTCTGGTGTCACTGTCTGAACTATTCTTGAGCTGCAGTGTTGTGTGTTACCTGCTCTACCGGATGCGAGATTTATCTCAATCTATGTTTCGCTCTCCTTTAACTCACGTGACATTCGAACCGTTTTCCATCATTCACAGTCAGTCTGATCATCAATTCTTCACTCGGAGTCGTAATCGTAGGCTTCTTGATGAACCCCTAGTATTTTGTGATATCCTGACTGAATATCTAAGGGTTTCATATGTTACTTGCTATCCGTGGAAAACTTTAAAGAAACGAGCAGTTTGTTTCTGTTCCCTTGCACTTGAACTGGCACCTCAGAGAACAAGCTTTAAAAGCTGAAAGGCACTTATGAGTAAATGTTCTCTTGAAGACTGAATAGTGCACCCTGTTAGCCAACAAGAACTGTGGTGATACATGGAAAGTGTTACTCCGGTTTTGTGCTCTTAA